CTGAGTGTTTCAAGGCCAGGTCGGATGGAGCTCTGAGCAGCTTGGCCTAGTGAAACGTGTCCTTGCTCATGGCAAGGAGACAGGGACTAGATGATCCTTGAGGTCCCTCCCAACTAAAGTCGTTCCATGACTCTATGAAAATGCAAATAAACCAAGCAAAGCAAATCCAGGCAGAACCCAAATAGTAACAGAGGCTGAATGAATAAATAAAGTCACTAGGATTAAACCAGATTTATGCTGCCACTCAGCTTCTTGAACAGCCACATAAAGCTGTAACTGACTGTGGCATGGTGGCTTCAGCCTCTGCTCCCTTGAAGCCACTATCCAACCAGGTAGAAAAATAAAGGTCTAATTCACTGGAAATTCTTTCATTTACAAAACTAATGGAACGGGGGTTGTTTTTATGCTTCTGCTTCAACTTCTGATTTATCTTCAACTCCATTCTGCTCATCTTTCATCTCTGCATCTCTGGTGTGGCTGGTCTGAAGAGTAGCAGCTGACTAAATAGAGAGACAAAGAAAAATATATTACTTTGTTATACAACATTGCTAGCACAAACATTATTTGATTCTTATTACCAGGAAACCTAGTCTCCCCTGCAAGACTGAATGAAGATCTTAGGATCTTCATCCAAAACAAACCACAAATGTCTGCATTTTTCATGCACCTAAGAAACCGGAGGCAGTTTAGAGGCTGAGATATAATACTAGTATTAGGTGGTTATGATTCATAATGTGGCCTGCATGCTCTTGCCACAAAACACTTTCTTACAGTCTTCTAGATAAAATTAATTTTCAAAGCTTTTGCACAGAACTGCTTTTGTCCTGCTGGAATTTCAGTGTGATTAATTTTCAGCCATTCCCATAGCCTACCCCCACCCCCAACTTGCAGGAGGCAAACTTGGGCTCAGCATACAAAGAAATATCTTTGTTGTACAACTAGTTTTGTGAAGAGTGACTTCAACTCAGTAACAGTGATTTGGATGTCCTCTGCAAGAGCTTAGCTGGAAGAAAACACAATCTGACAATGTGGATGCTCTAAAAACCCTGTCTGTCCTTGCTGCATCTTCCAGTCCACATAAAAAGTGTAGAAGGCAGAGACCCATGTGATAAGGTACAAGGTGAGATTTTACAATATAACATAATGGGCACATCCTGACCTTGCAATAATTTTCAAACACAATAAAGGGAAGTAAAAACTTCTTGTCCTGCTCATCTCAAAAGATAGTGCAACAAAATTGCTATTACACCTCTCAGCCTAGCACCTAGAACCTTCTGTTTTATTATGATGTTAGATGAGAACCACAAAAAAAAGCAAAAAATTAAGCATGCGGCGTTGGGAGAGGAGAATAGGAGGGGAAAAAGGGGCAGAATCCTTCAGCCTACAAGAGCTAGATCTTCACAGAAGATCTGTTAGCCAGCAATCCTGGCGCTAAGTTAAGGTGATAAACATCCTGACCTTTAAAAATTCATACTTTACATATGTCAACTATTTGACTTCATGAAACAAACTGATTCAAGTGTGACTGTTGAATTCACCAGAACATAAGGTACAAGGTGTCAAGAATTTCAGAACTATAGTCCAAGCTACCTCCTTAGCAATCAGAAGACATTTGGTAAACAAACTCTCCTCTCCAGAACTCTTGACCTCCTACTACTACCACTAGTAGAGAAACTGTTGGAGCTAAACAACATTATAAACACATTAACAGAAAACAAGATTTTCTTCCAAGAAAACTACCTAAAGACTGACTTAGGGTGTAAGCGTCCTTTGTTTACAGTCCCATCAATCCCATTTCATATAAAACCTTATCAGTTTGAGGTAGGCCAGATGGCTCAGAGTGAAAAAAATCTCATGAGGAGCAGCTGAAGGTACTGGGGGTGTACAGCCTGGAGAAAAGGACACTCAGGGGAGACCTTATCACTTTCTACAACTACCTGAAAGGAGCTTCTGGCAAAGTGTGGGTCTGCCTCTTCTCCCAAGTAACAAATGATAGGACAAGAGGAAATGGCCTCAAGTTGCACTAGGGGAGTTGTAGGTCAGGTATTAGCATTGGAACAAGCTGCCCAGGGAAGTGGTTGAATCACCACTGAATCACCACCCTGGAGGCATTCAGGTGTAGAAGTGGTACTCGGAAACATGGGAGAATAGTGGACATGGCAGTGTTAGGTTATTCTTTGGGCTCTTTCACTTACACTTGGTTCGACTCCAACCTAAATGATTCTATGACTTCAAACTGAATCTGTTTCAAGCAGATAGGAAAATAGGAATTAAGTGCTGTGTTTTTCCAGTATCCCAGAGTCTGCAATGCAAAGACTTGAGAGTCTGCCTTTTGCCAAGAATATGACTCTACCAATTGTCTGTCTTAGGAGCTGAAGTGTACATTTTGGAGAGCAGAAAGGCAGCTTTTTTGTACTTTCAGTGGGTATAGCTTGTTTCAGCAATCCACTCTTCCCCTCTCAACAGCAGATCTGGCTGCATCCCACACCTAGTGAAGGAAGCCAGACTCCCAGTAGCTGTGCTAGCTGAAAGGAACCTTCACAACAGAGCCTGGGAGCTGGCAATTATATCCTGCCCTTTCAAAAGTGAAGATGCCTAATTGAAATAATTCTAGTTTAGTTGATTTATCTCTGTACTCCTCAGAATTTTCATTAAAGCCTAACAGAATTAAGGTACTGTGTGGCTATACATCACTATGTATACATATACAGACAGACATAATACTTTCTTCCAAGCTCCAATAAACAAGGACTATCAACATCAGGCTGCTTTAGCCAGATACATACACAGACAATGACACTTTGCTTGCAGAGTCAAGTAGGGAATGTCTGTGTTTATGTATTTGTTTACACTCCTCCATGAGGAGCAGAACCAAATCCACACAGTTGCCAAACAGAACAGCCTCCCCTCCCAATCATCCAGTTAGAGGTTACTATGACTATGATTACTATATGACTACTTTAGCAGAGTAAGAGACTTCATCTCTTATGAAGTACATCTATCTCTCCCATGATCTCTGGGAGACAAACTTATTTCAGATCTCATTTTGAAAGACTGAGGGGTGGGGAAAATAAAGAAACATGTTTGTAAAGTATTTCATGTAGGAAATTATCAGCCAACAGTCTGAGATGGCTGAACTCTCAGGATATACTCATCTGAGGACACGGGGCCTCTGGAAAAACTTGCTGGCACAGTTAACCACAGGAGATTACCATACCAGTATCTATCAATTTTTTTTAGATACTCCATGCATATTCTGGAAAAGTAGACACAAAGATTTGTGAAAATAACCTCACAAGGTACAAGCTTCTGCACACCCCAATGTTACGGAGGAAATTTGAGTCTGACATAAATCCCAGATTTATCTTTAAAGTTACAGGTCTACCTAGTCCTTCTGGACCATCAGATTTAAGAAAAAGAAACAGGTTTTCCGAAGACATGTAGTTCTCACTGGTACTTTGGAATGTTTCTTGCTAGCTGATAGAAGCTTGTTATAATCTGTATTCACATACTGCCATTGTTAACTGACGTAGTGTTTTACTAAAATTCTTGTAAAAGCTTAGTAGAGAAACCATCTATACAGTAGAATAATTAATTCTCTGACACTTTATAATCAATCTGTGACATTTGAAATGGAAACCATCAACCACATCTTAATGTCTCCATGAGCAACAAGATGGTGTTCGGCACCATCTGTACGTCAGACATAAGGTCTCACTACATGGGTCTCCTAGGCACCAGAACAGTCTGTTCTTTACAACAATTGGTTCAAGGAGAATAGGAGCTTTTTCAGTTCTTGGATGTTATCATGTTTGCATCTCATCACTTCACTTACTTTCTGATTAACTCTGGCCTGTTGCAAATTCAGTTGAAATAAGTACAAGCATTCTGTGTGGTGCTTGGTACTGACAGTTTTCCTGTTCAAACAAGATGGCCTAGTAATTTTGACTATTGGCTACTTTGAGTTCTCTCCCCACCCCCAGAGGAATCTACTTGAGTGTTCTCCCACTGCAGTTATCTGTGCTAAGCTGAATACCTAAACCACTATTCCTTGTCTAACATGACACCATCTCTTGTAGTCTTCTGGAGTAGTGTAACTTACCTTTAAGTCTTTGTCTGCAAGCCTTTGGAACATGTTGGCATACATCTTTTTCTCCTTCTCATGCTGCTCCCGTATTTTTTGCTGACAAGTCACCAGTTGCACTTTGGCAGCCTTGTTACTTGGATAAAGTTGTATCACTTTCTGGAAATCTCCTCGTGCCAATTCAAAGTCATTGACAGCCAAGTGCGCTTCTCCACGCCGGAAGAGGCCTTTTTCATTGTTGCTATCCAATTCGAGTGCCTACATTAAAAAACCAAAACACACTCAGTAATGAAATCTTCTTTTATAAAAATTATATGCAGTCAGAACACCACAGACTGCTACACACTGTACCTTCCAATACAGACTTATGAGTCTTACCAGGGCTTACCAAGTGAGTTGAACACAGCAGAAGTAAGTACAAAGAGGACTGACTAGAACAGGCTATTTAACAGGGAAGCAGCAAGTCTAAGATTTAGTCCCAGGTCTAATCCAGCTCTTTGAAAGACCTTTGCCAAGATTATTACCTTCTCTGCATCTCAAGTGTTTCTAATTTCTAAATACTTGAATATTCTCAATGTAGGAGCAAGTTAGTAAAAGGTGTTCAAAGAACAGTAATTATGAAAATAGTCTGTTGGATAGTTTCAGTGTGTTCAGTACCATCTAACTGTTAGCTGGTAAGAAAGGCCACATAGCACATGGCCTAGTATCCCTCAAACTGTTAAAGCAAGAAATAAACTGTCAAATTGTTTGTGCAATTTAGGAATAAATAAATCCCTGCTACCTTGTTGCAGTTCTCCAAAGCCTGGGAGTATTCCTTTAGCTTGAGATGGCACATAGCTAGATTAAGGTGGGCAGCAAGCCTCAAGCTTTTGGCTTTTGATTCCTCCTCATCAGAGAGTCCTGATTCATGCTCCAGCCATGACACAATCTTCTTATATTGTAATGCTGCCCGTTTGTATTTCCCCTCCTGCAAACAAGGCAGTTTAATTATCACACAGCTCATCACAGTACCTTGTGTCTCCCTCTTGCCCCTTCTGCTTACCTTGAGCAACAGATCTAAAAAATAAAAGTTTGATCAGAAAATAACTTCTATCATCAAAAACATACTACTTCTGAAAGCCATTCCTGCATAAATCAGAAAATCTTTAGGAATACCTACTGGCTCCCCACTGAAGTGAGTGGTATAGGCCAGCACTGATACTTCACTCTCAACTCCCACCTTATATCCAGCTTTTGATATAAAAAGAAAAAGGAAGATGGGGCATTTTCAAAATGTGCTACGACGATAATGTTCAATTCTTCTTTTATCTAGTCAAATTGCTTGAAACAGCTTCTCCATATATCTCTACCCAAAGGAATGTTGCTCTTTCACAGCACTATCTCACAGCAGAAGCTAAAATACTGTAACTTCTCTACTATTCCATCTATCCCCCAAAATGATCTGTAGGTACAGCAAACAGCTCTAACAGAACTCCCTACAGAGTTAGTTCTTTGGATACTTCCCCTCCAGTCCTCCCTTCTAAAATCACAACACCACGAACTGCTACAGGTCAAAAACGACAGGACCTGTGATCATCATTATCAGCTCATGATATGGACTAAGAAATGCTATTATTCCTTGGGGACTGTAACTTACCTTGAAGTACTGAGTGCCTCTCTCCTTCACAATGCAGCTTTGTTCTAACTTCTCATCCGTGTTCATTTCCCAAGACTCCTTAGCCTATCCAAACAGGAATAATTCAACTCAATGATACAACTTCTAGGAGAAATCAAGTGGCTATGTTGCTTCCCATTAACAGTGCAATAGACAGAGGTTTTGTAAAGCAGAGCTTTGCACTGCTACTGGAAACTGGGCTAGAGCATGAGACAGCAAGAGAGGGATACAGCAAGAATAAGGACAATTTCAGTCAAGAGCTCCCAGCATGTCATCATCTCTGACAACAGTGGCCTCCCTATTTCAGATCAACATTCAAGGATTCCATTGTCCGTGTTTAAGCTGCACTCATGCTTCTTCCCCCACCCCCAATCTCTTTGGGATTTCATCTCCCTACCTTTTCAAAGCTTTTGAGCTTGACTTCATACTGCAGCTCTGCATCTGGAGGGATCTGAAATTTCTCGTTCCCAGCACTTCCAAAACCATAGCTGTAAGATGGGGGTGGAAGAGTGCAGAAATAAACAGTGAAAGAAAAAAAAGAGTTACAAAACTGTCCAGCCAGCTGTATTTGCTACATAGGAAGATGGGAGACAAAAACTCCATGCAAATCTGGGATGCCTATACAGCATTATTACATGAAATAAAGGCTTGAAGAATTCTAGATACAATTCTAAAATTAGCAAGCACAAGGGAGAAGAAAGCATGAGAAACCTAGTGTTAATTTGATTAATCTCACACCAGTTCCTATTATTATTTTTAGCTTATGTGAAGGAAAAGCAAGTTATCCCACAATCAAAAAAAAAAACCCCAGAACAACCAACTTCCAAGTTATACACATCTTGCTTTATAGTCGTGGTTCTGAAACTGAATGTTTCCTTCAGAGCACCTGCATTTTAGTACTATTCTCAGAAAAGCAAAGACAATTAATACTGAGATTAAGTGAAGAGCTGTACACTGAACATACTGATAATCAGATGATGGACAGGAAATGCCTATAGAAACGTTCTGTGCTGCAACGCCAGTAAGAAGTTGCGTATTAGCAGAAGACCCTCAAGATCAGATTGCTTTACTTTTTTGCTCCAATCTGGTTCAGTTACACTTAATAAAGAATGAAATAACTTAGAAGTTTGATGAGAACAACCGGTGCAAACACCACTTGTTTCCAACATGCTCTCACTGTAAAGAGAAAATACTGCTTATATCCAAGACTATACATGCACTGTTGTACAGTAAGTACTACTTTACTAACAGGAACCACAAAAATCTGTTAGCAGCAGTATTTTTTGGAGTGCATCTACTTCACTATGAAGTGACAAAGCAATCTTAGCTCAATACTTCATCAGTTTTTTGGGGCTGATCAAGTTTTTACTAAAGCACTGAAAAAAGCTAAAAAAAGCATTATAACGAAACACTTAATTCTTGCCAGATACTTAATATAAGCACTTCGAGTATCAAAAGATCAGAAACAGCATACCTGGGCTTGAGATAGAACACGGATTCCTCTGACTTCTCCATTTTTTGAATTGCTTTCTCCAGACCATGAGGAAGATCATAGTTTTCACCTTCTCCAATCTCAAACCGTAATTCCCGCTTGTCAAAAACACGATCTCCATATCGGCCTTCAAACTGGACTGGTAACAAAAACCAGAACAACACAGAGGAAAATCAGAAGATACCTGTGTATGGTAAGGGGCAGGTAGCACAGGAGTACACAGGGAGTGCTATATGGTCAGGTAGCACATAGGGAGTGCCAAATCCTCCTAAGCAGCCTTTTCTCTTTTAACAGCTACCTATGCATGGTGGCTTCTGGAAGGAAACAACTTCTACTGTAAAATTTAATAACCCCCTTTTTTTTGTTCAGCTAATTGTTTGGTTTTTTCCCTAATCCAACAACAAGTGCCAGAACAACCTCCTCTCTTGTTCCTCAGCAAATGAAAATACTTTATTAGACATATCTAGCTTTTGTGATCAGATAAACACTTCAACAGATTCGGTATCACTAGAGAACACAGTTGCTGCTGGAAAATGTAAACCTTGTAAGAAATAAGAGAATGAAAGCTTACTCTAGGTTAAGTTACTTGATAAAGGAAAGAGAAGCCACATATTCCTGTCTCTCAGGGCAAGGAGTTGTAGATTGTGAAAAAGGTTCTGCTGTCCCACATATATAGCAAACCCATTTACTATGTGTGTAACAACATACTTACTCTCTACAAGTGCATCCTCATTGGGCTTGGAGTAGCCCTCCCCTTTTTTACGGATTCTTCGAATGATGCCACCATCTTCCTCATCCGTGAGATCCTCCCCCTTGAACTCAAACAGTTCTATCTGTCAGGGGAAGAAAAACCTTGCATTTATTCTCAGTAACTCACAGCACTTGTTCTCCAGAAATCTTAGCTATGCAGGAAGTCACCATCTTGGTTAATGTCCTGTAAGATATTGGATAGCCAAGGCTCTGCAGATGATACTGGATGAAAATCAGTAGATAGTGGATGGAAACCTACTGAAAAATTTCAGATTTCATATTACTGGGGAAAAAGAGCTAAAAATGCCTGAATACACTCCGAGTCTCCCAATCCTAAAAATTAGATCCTTCAAATGAAAGAACTGTAAATCTGCCTTCTGAATAAAGCTTACATGAGTCACAATGCTTAGGGTCTACTGCAAGAAAAAGATTCTACTGGCTTCTTTAATAGTATTTTTGCTAATGTCTGCAGGCATAAATATGGATAGTGGGTTTGGGCTTGAGGTTTGTTTTTTTTAACATGAGAAAAAATACCTTTTGAACACATTAAGTCAGGAAGAATTTGCTCTCAGCTGCCACTCCGCAGTGCTACCACACAAACCAGCATCTGTCACACTCTGTTACTCTACAGTCAGGCAGAATCACCAGTAGTGTCACTATAACTGAGGGCCAGGGCAGTTTTTAAGTAATGCAAGGACAAAAGGAACAGGACAATGAAAGATAAAGATGTAATCCTTATCCTTAACTCATGATTATACCCGTAATTCCACTGATGGTCAAATTCAGATCAACTTTTAAGTGCTTGGAATGGAGCTTAGACTGATTCCAAATGCTTGGCTGGCAACATTAAAACAAATTCAAGAATACCTTTTCAGACTTAAGCCATTCTCTGCCTGTTTCTTCATCCTCCTACTCATGTGCCACAGGACGGTAATTTCAAAACTTCTGTGCCATTTTCCCTTGCATGCCAGAACAGAGTCAGCACTCTCTTTTTACTCGTTACACTTTCCCCCTCTAGTCTTGCCTTATCATTGTGTATTGTGAGATCATTTCAGAAAAAAGTATTTCCAGAAGAAAAATAAAACCACCATCTTGCCTGCCTTTAACCTAAACTTGCTGCTGCAACAAATTGTTTAGAACTTTTAAGAGCTGGTGGTAATGCAGAAGACAGCTATGCAGCCCGAATCTTCACATGCCCTCCCAAGCCTCTAATGTAAATTATAGTTCCACTAAATGGAAAAGCAGTCGAGTCACAAAATATGTTTGCTGCTGCTATGGAACGAAGGAAAAATATTTTCTATGCTATGTTTAATAATAAAAACAGCACGAAGGAGCAAGCCATTATAATCAGTATTGTTTAGACTAACTCATTAAAAACATCCACCAACTTCAGGGCTAATGCTGTGCAGGTTCCTGACACTGGACTGAAGATACCTGGAATGCAAAAGGAATTGAATAGTCACCAGCACAAAGAGTACTTCCACTTTTTTTGATTGATACCTAGTAACAAATAATATTCTGGTCTTCTTTTCAGTCCCTCTGAAACAAGCTGTCATTCCCAAACACCCTGCTGATGATTACACAGGAGTCTCCCCACCTTTTATTTTTTTTTTTTTTACCCTGAACAACGGTATTCTATGGAAGAATCTATCTATACTGCTCAGCAAAAACAATCATGAAGAAGAAAAAAACCCCAAACAACAAAATACCATCAGATCAAAAAAACAAACTATAAGACACCCATTTCTTCAGGTCATAAAGACATGTTGATTTGATGACACATACAGACTCTTTTAATGTAAGTTTTAGAGGGCCCTTTTTAAGACAACTTGTACAAAATTCTGGTATGGTGATAAGCACTGCAAAGAAACACGCTGACATTGTTTTGAATAAAAAAGGAAACCTGGAAGGAAAACTAAAAAAGTAGAAACTCAAAAGACTAAGTGCCTCAGAGTCAGATTTGACAGAAAGTACTTTCATCTAATAAAACTTAGGAACACTTTCTAGATCCAAGTTCCAACCGACACCCCTGATCGGGACACACCCAGCACTGCTTATGTGTTGCAGCCGCTCAGCTCCAGGCTATCTTGTTAGGGAAAACACAAAACCATCATGGGCAGCTTTGGTGCTCTTCTTTCTTTTCCTTTTTTTTTCTCTAACACTCCTGCTCTGGCAGGCATTAGGGGATATCCAGGGTCATGAATGGAATGCTACTTTTATCTAAAAACTACCCCGAAGATGGAGAGGTCAGATTGGCATTATTAAGAAAAACTCCTGGAGGAAAGTGAATAACCTGGATGACCACACTTGGCAGTCCTCTGCCAGAACAAATGCCATCATCTTCGTTGTGCTTTCACTTCTCAAAATATTAGGTATTATCTCTTGCTGCAGGACAATGAAAGCTTCTCTGCTTTTTACTGTCCAGGCACATCCTGCGTACTAGTGCTAAGCCCCTTAATGCTCCATTGTGCTGCCAAGGTAGAAGGTCTTGAGCTTTGAGCTTGTATCACCAGATCACTGTTTTTCCTCTCCCTTGAATCCTGTCCTGATTACACTCAGTGTCACTTGCATATGTACAAAGCACTCCAGCATATGTAGTCTGATCAAATATAACTAAGCCATAAGTAACTTCAGAAGAAAACGCTGTTTAAGAACAGTTTCACAAAACACTATTTTTCAAGAGTCAACTACAGAAATAATTAATTTTCATGTACTTGAAATTAGTAACTTGTCATCCCTTAGTGGACACTACCTGCTAGCATTATTTTTTAATCCTTCTGCATAAAATACATCTTTAATCCTATTATGCACTAGTGCATGAAAAAAACTGAATTAATGCAAATACACTATTCAAATGTAATACAAATACACTATCCAATTATGTAAAGGTCAATGGTATCTTGGCTTGAATCAGCAATAGCATGTGCAGCAGAACCAAGGCAATGAACATCCCTCTGTACCCAGCACTGCTGAGGCTGCACCTCGATTACTGCATCCAGTTCTGGGCTCCTCACTACAAGAAAGACACTGAGGTGCTGGAGTGTGTCCAGAGAAGGGCAACGAAGCTGGTGAAGGGCCTGGAGTACAAGTCTTACTATGAGAAGCAGCTGAGGGAGCAGGGGGTGTTTAGCTTGGAGGAAAGGAGACTTGGGGGTGACCTTCAGCTGTCTACAGCTACCTGAAAGGAGGTTACAGCCAGGCGGGGTGGGGCAGCTTCTTCCCCCAAATAACAAGAGACCAGACAAGAGGATATGGCCCCAAATTGCATCAGGAGAGATTTAGAATGGATATTAGCATTTGAAAAGGCTGCCCATGGAAGTGGTTGAGGCATCATGCCTGGAGATGTAGATGGCTGTGCTCAGGGACATGGTTTAGTGACTCTGTGATTCTACATATAGTTTACCCTTCTTAACAGATGCTCATTGTTTACAATAAAATCTAAACAGGCTTTCAGTCTCCATCAGCTATTTTTACCTTCCTCAGATATTAGGATCAAACATTCAATCTTAGAGCAATCATCAGAGTTTTAAAACTTTCCTTATGCCCCCAATGAAGGGGACTGCTCTGTTACCAAGTATTTTAGGGCAAAGTAATTTTAAAAATCACACTTAAAAAGTCTGCCTTCTCTCGGGTGGAATTAATTTTAAAGTAGTTACTGGAGAATTTAACTGTTTCAACAGTAAGAAAAACATATCCTCTCCAAACACTGTTGAGACTGTCAGAGCACATCCCAGAAACAGCTTTAATACCATCCTCCGTGGAAAAATCAAACACGAGCGTGAGCATTCTGAGCAACCATTCTCACTACCTGAAATAACACAGAGGAGACAGCTGCTATTTCCACTCTCTTTTGGGAAGGGGGACGAGGGAGTGACTTAAAGAT